CTCACGACATGGCCAAGAGAGCCCACCGAACGGCCACGCGGGCCCGAAGACAGCCCAATTCTGATCGCGCCCCCGAGCGGGCCCTCCTGGCCAGCCCGCTCGAAGAACAACTCAGAGCCGACGCTGTCCCGCGCGGCAATATCAAAACGCGGCGCACACCGCTAGTCTGTGGACCGAAACGCTGCGCCAAAATGCAGCGCTCGTCTCTCCCGCTTTGGAGCGGCGCTCGTTTTCGGTCCGCCAAGCCGTCGGCACCTCGTGATGCGCAACTGTATGGAAGTTGCAGGCTGACACGCGCGCCTTGCTGACTACTTCCGCCCATAGGGCGGTACAGCACGCGCGCGGGAGCTGGTTGTCAGAAAGTAGCGGGGGTGCTGAATGCGTTCGGCTGATCACCACGTTCCCTCTGCTCACGCACCGTCTGGTGCACGGCTCTGCAGTCGGACCTAGGTTAGAAGAGCACCCCTCAACAACATGAGACCCTCCGCAAGCAAAAAGGCACATAACTTCCAAGGGTACCCTCACCAGGATGCACAAAAACATGCAACAAGCACCAAAAACATCCGGGCACCCTCCCCGAACTGACCTCGCTCTTGTCCCTGGGAACGGCACTGCCTGACCCGATCTGACCAAGCCGTCGGCAGTGGGGCCGCACACGGGGAGCGGGCGAGGTGCGCTCCCGCCCGAAGGCGCCGCGCGAGCTGCTCACGTGGGGATGCGGCCCTGGTGCCACTTCGGGAGCCGGGCCGCGCGGGGGCGGAGAATCCCCAGGAGGCCTCCCGAGTGGGATCTGAGCAGATGGGGTCGGAGGATCGCGCCAGCATCGCCAGTGCCTCGGCTCTACCCAGTATGGGGAAATTCTGCCTGCACGTCAAGCCGCATCGTCAATCCATCTGCGACGCGAAGCGATCCCTCGGCCCCATCCCCTCGGACCTCCTATGGGAGGCTCAGGGCTCGGGCGCGGCGCGTGTTGCGGCCGAGTATTTTTGTTGTTTGTTTGTTATTTTTGTTTTGTTTTGTTTTTTTCCTCTCTCGAGTGCAAGCGTGAGTGAGGATGCGTGTCCACAGCGCGAGCGGTCGCTTGCGCGAGCTGTGCCGCTGTGCCGCGGTCATTGCCCAGGGCTGTGAGACTTCAGCACAGGAAGGGTTCTGCGGTTGCAGTTACGAATGCGAGTCTTGCCAGACCTTCGCTGCGAATATCGGGCCAGGAGAGAAAGAGGTGGTCGCTGCCCCCCTTTTTTTTTCCTGGCGTTTGCGAGCAGGCGCTTTGCGAGTAGCGGAACGCGCTCGGTGAAAGAGGGGGGGGCACTAATCATAGCCCGAGGCATGTGCGCGGCTCGGCGGGGGGGGGGGCCAAGGAACGTACGAAAATAAGAAGAGGAGCCGCGAACTCCTGTCCCAAGCTGAGAGCACGGCAGGAGGCGTGGAAAGGGGGCGAAGGAGGGGGGATGTATGTTGCTAAGCGCCAGGCGCACAGCCTAAGCCCAAAGGGCTACGGAAGAAGTCCGAGCTCTAACCCGTAGCTAAACCCGGAGAGCGGGAGAGGGGAGGTCGAGAAAGAGGGACCGGGGCCCTCAAGGGCCAGAGGGCCACCGGGACCCCACGGACCTCCGGGGCCCGGGCCCCGAGGGGGGCAGCGGGCCAAACTTTGGCGGGTTTAGCGAGCTCGAGGCTCGCTCCCGCCAGGCAGCCGGGCCCCCCGGCCTCCATGCTGACGTAGGCCGGCACACCCTTGGGCGACGGGATCTGGCGCGCGGGTGTCTGCGGTCGCCCGCGCGCTGGGCCTCCTCTTCCTCCTCCTTCTCCTCTTTCTCCTCCTCCGCCCCTCACCTCACTCGTGTTCTTGTCTCCTCCTGGGCGCTCCTCCTCCTCCTCCTCTACCTCCTCCTCCTCCTCCTCTTCCTCCTCTACCTCGGGGAGCCCTGGGCCCCTCCTCACCTCAGCTGACTCGATCTTCGGGGACTCGACCTTAGCTGCTAGCTCGAGAGCGCGCCTACTGGCCCCGCGGGACCTGCTCTTTAGGGCCTCGTTGAGGGCCCTCTCCGTCAAGTGGCCGTGTTCGTCCACCAGGGACAGGGTTCCCCTGCAAAGCAAGTCATGCAATGCCAAGTTGCCGCGGGACGGGTCCATTTTGGTCAGCGGATCCGCAGGCATCCTAGCGTGTGGCATCCACCGCACTTGGGAACCTATCGAGCACAAGGCGTCTCGAATCACGGCAAGCTCGATAGCATTTCGCCTGTCGGCTCTCGAGCCGGCAGAGTTACGGGAGAGAGTGTCAAACACTGATTTCGCGTCAACGACAGAGAGGCACGAGGCCGCCTCGCTAAGTTGACAATCTTGGGACATCACGACCGTAAACGGGGCCTGCCCGTTGAACCAATCGGGCCTCGAGACATCGTTAAAAACAGCGTCTCTAAACAGGACTTGCAACCGCTGGGCCTCGGCCGTGGCCGCGGACAGGGCTAACGTCTCCGCCGCCGCTGTGCTGGCGACGGCTCTCTTTATTCTCTGGGAACGCCAAGACAGCACACTTACTTTCGATCGTTTGTTCTGGCGAATGCCACCGTCTGCAGCCATGGCGATCCACGCTCCCTGCGCTCCACCTCGCCGAGCGG